TTTCTTTATTTACGAGCTTTCGACATTGCTTCTGTGATCATAAGTATAATAAAAGAGATTTTACAATAGAGAATATATATATGTTGTAGTCAAAATTAGAATTTATTCAAATTCAGTATTTGCCTTGTCAAAATTGGAATTATAGGGTAGAATTTAATGTTTGACTAGATAAATTTGAAATTTGACTGAATTCTGATTTTGCCTATAACATATATATTTTTTCTATTGTAGAATCTTTTTTTAAACTGATGATCATACGAACAGTCTTGAAAGCTCGTAAATAAAGAAATGAAAAATTTCATATGTATTTTTTTACTTAATCTTTCGGCTTATCAAAAGCTCTATTTAAAACTTAAACGTAATTAACTGCATTCGAACGAAATATGGCGAATGTGCTTTAAGAGGATTCAGACATGTCGAGAGATTAACAGTGAAATTAGCAAAATCCCAGTGTGTTATTGAATATTTATGTATGAGTCTCGTTTATTCCCTCCACTGAAGGAAGGGTCATATAAAATAAAATGAGTTTATGTGCTTTTTTACAGTCATGTGAGGATCACGTGTTCATGTATATATAAGGATTTTTATAAAGTTTCACCAAAGGTAATCGGGGTTAGGGAACCAAATTCGTGATCAGTTTTTCAAAATTTTGAGTTGGATTTTTTTCATCAAGGAAAGGTGTTTTTAAGAAAATTATGATTTTTACTGCGACTGAAGAGAGGGTCATATGAAGTAAAATAAGTTTATGTGCGTGCTGGCTTGAGATTATTTGTTACTCGAATGGAAGTGATAACTTATCAAGTCAAAGAAAGATATGATGACCAGATCATCATCATCATCATCAATCAAAAGACTTCATTAGAACAACAGGGATCGTTCCTAAATCAAACGAATAGTTAGGGCAAGGGGGGGGGGGGGGCAACTCGGCTGATCGCGTGATGACAGGATCTGAATGACAAGAAATCATATTTCTGAGATCTTACCTGGAGATGTGACCATCAGAGCGCTGAGATACACTAATTATGGCACTGTTAAATCATTCGTAGTAGATAGAGAATAGTAATAGATGTACAACAAATAAAAAAGTAGAATAGGTAATTTTGTATCCGATGAAAAATGTTTTCTAACAAATTATCATATTACGGGCTGTTTCGATATGTACTTTTGAGCTATCATAATGCGTTGGGAAAAGGAGTTGAAGATCGAAAATCTCTTTCTTCAAGTGTATCATTCTTATTCTCTTTTGGATGCATGTAAATTACTCAATGTGAAATGGAAACTAATTAACAAAAACAACAGTCTCATTGAATAAAAAGTTTAAAATATTTTATGAGACAAAAAATGAATTTAACGAACACGAACAACTTCTTAATTGGGACAGAACAATCAAATGTTAGTTTATCTACATATTTCAATGATATTATTCTTCATGGATGTATATGGGTTACAAGAACAACTAATGTTATTAGTACAAATGATGTCGATAATAATTCAATAATAAGGGTGTGGGTGTGGGTGCGTGGGTGTATGTGTGGGTGTGGGTCTGTGGCTGTGGGATGTAGCTGTGAATGTGGGCGTGTACATATAGATATTGGTGTGGGTGTGAGTGTAAGAGAATCGAAGATCCACACCCATGCGCTCACCCTCTTCTCTTCATCGACATATACTCACACCTAGACCCACACACGCCCACACCTAGGCGTGCAACAAATCCTATTTTTCGACATAAAGGTTGTAAATTTTCTGTATGAAGACTCACCAAATCCAACCAAATCTTTGTGTCGATTATAACCAGTTTTATTTGCTCTACTCAATAATGGTGTAAAATGACCAAATCCAACCAAGACATTTCTAAGATTTGGTAAGATTTGGTGAAAATATGGCAATTTTTACCAAATCCTACCAAATCTTAGAAGTGTCTTGATTGGATTTGGTGGGTCTTCATATTGAAAATTTACAATCTTTATGTAGAAAAATAGGATTTGTTGCACCCCTACCCACACCCATACCCTCTCTCCACTGACCGATGGTGAGAAGTTTCTGCGAACAGATATAAATGTTTTCTCTTATTTATGAAACAGTCAGATTACATGTATCCCTATAAATTTAATTCGAAAGTTTCCTGTCACTGATAAGATTAGTCTATAAGAAAAATAACGAATTTCATTATAACATTTTCTGAGTATAACTGGCTTTTTGTCTGCCAATATTTGTTAAGTACAATATGATAAACGTCACAAACGAGCAAACCATGATCGCTGATAAACCAATCAAGTATATTTGAACCGAAAAACGAGGTGGATGTTGAATACTTGTTCCATTTTGACAAGTATCTTTACCGACACCTTAAACGAGTCAAAGCAGTCCAGGTAGTAAACTTGAGAGTGCTTCACCAAATAAGAATCCATTGAGAAAACGAAGTTCATATTGATTGAGAAATGGCATAAACGTTGCACTTGAAGTAACATCTACGAGAGCTATACAAAACGATAGAGTCATAAGATAAGTAGAATGACGAAAACCGCCTACGATCGATGTTTTGTTCCAAAGGAAAGCAAGAGCAAAAAGAGCACCAGTGCCGATAGATAATACACTAATATTGACTGAAATTTCGTAAGCAACTTTGCCTCGAGAACACCATCGAATAATAGCTACAAGAAAGAGAGCTACACTACCACTATTCGCAATGAGACCCATAATGGCGGGTAAACGCCAGTCCTCGACAGTTTGTGGTACGATAAGTGGAAACTAGAGGAAGACACCCTGAAGATTGAGCCATGTGCCCACACCGAATAAAGTGACAAGAATATAGACAAGTGGAGTAGTGATGCGAGATGACAACATGTATTTGTTAGATGAATGAGTGTGCGAATGACTAGTTATATAAAAGATAAAAAATTGGTCGTTATTATCTTACAATAAGTAAAGCAAAGGATCGACGCAAAACCTTTTTTTTATGTGACTATAAAAAACAGTTTTGTATCAGTTCTTTTTTCACTTATTGTAGCATAATAACAAGTCATTCTGTATCTTTCAAGTATTCAGTCATGTTTTTGGTGTTAGTATTTTATCTGATAATCACTAAGAAAGTGCCATATTAATGGTTAACCTATAATAAATTGTCTGTCTTTGCACTTGATATTCATGTCTTGTTACTATGTTTTATTTTAAACAAAATATATCACGACATACATCGAAGTGCGCTCTACATTTTACATTAAATTGTTATTGTATAGTTATGCTCCTTTGGTTGTCAATATAAAAAGATAAAATTTGACACGTATAATTTTCTGCACTGTGGACAAGAGTATGCTTTGGTATACAAATGATGTCTTTTTTGATCTCATCAAATAAAGAGTTATTGTCTTTGACATTGTTTCACAGTATATTGTAACTGATAGCGTCGTACACATAACAGTTCAGAATGCTTAGATCACGACGAATTAGTAACCATTTATTATTATCTATTCAGTTGGTTAATTAAAACATTTGTAAACTATTTCTATTAAGATGCAGTCAATTTTTTAAAACAAAAATAGTCTACGAAACATAAATATTAATTAATCATATCAAAATTTCACATCTTTTTAATAAAATTTTTTCTTAAAAATCAAATGAAGACATGAGTAGACATATCGATTACATTGATTGATTTGTTAACGTTAACTGTTAAAATTACTAAATTGTCAGTGATTATTGCAAAATTTAAGAAAACCTTAGAACTGTTTCGTCTTTTAGGACATTTAAATCTATGAAAGAAAAGAGTTGGATTTCTAGTTATCACGATTTTTGATTCATTGCAAGAAAATTCACCTTGTTTGAAAATGCAATTAAATTTTAATACTAGAAAGAATGAGTAACATGATAACTGTGCAGATATATTTTTTGTAGACTTCAATATATATTACAAAACTTGTATCATTTTTGTTCTGTTGATAAGTTTTTATGTGAAAATTTCTTTCTAGTTAATCTCGTATAAACAGACAGTTTCGACAATTAGTAATAAACCAGAAAAAAAATTGGAAGCATTTTATCAATGACAAAGATAATCTACGTGTGGATGATGGTAATAATTTATCCTGGTATTTCTGATATTCTGGATTTCTGAATGTAAGATACTAGTGGAGTTGCTTTCAGTGTTTCATGACTTTAGAAGTTACGAAAATCGAACACATCTCTAAGTACGATCCAAATTTATCCACTATTATAGGTTATAAGAACTTTCAAGGATGTTGTTTGAAAGCGCATTAAAATATTTAAATTAATACCTTTTGATATTTACAATAGATATTTTACTTTATCGTGCAATATGATAGAGGCAGATCATATGTCAAAATAAAAGCAATCTATAGAACACATAAGTATGTCATTATATCATTGTGATATTTTTAATGATTATTTTGAATTGTAATCGTTATACGTTGGTATTTATTAGTAATGGTTGGAAAAAATATTCATCAATTTGTATCTGTTTTTTTTTTCAGTTATCGAAATTATTGAGATAGATATCAAATACTATCTATTTGCTGAATTGTTGGATTCTATAATTGAAATATGTTGCTATTATACTATTTACTTCTCTTCTATGTTTTATATCGCATGAAAGCAAATTTCTTTTCTAACATAGATTGCATATCATTAATTACAATAGTACATTTGACAGAAGTGATTTTCAATGATCCAATGAAATTATCGTATTTTTCTTTTATCCTATTTTCTTTATTTGTCTCAAGGAGATGAAAAGATGTATTGAAAATTTGATTTCTAATGTCAACAAATATAAATCTGTTGTTATTATGTTACAAAACCTAGATATATTTTATTCTTCTTATTAACAATGATTGTATAAATCTGTTTCTTCCGAAGAAAACCTTGCAAATATTACATTTTTTTTGTTGCATACAGAAAGTAAAAAAGATAACCTTTTCTTTTTATTTTTTTTATAAGAATGTTATTTTGTCATTATTAGGCTAATATTGACAGAATAATTCGTAATAACAATGATATTAATGATGTTCTTCATTCTTGGTAAGATCTAAATAATATCTATTAGGCAAAGTTGAGACATAAACAAAATTAAACCTAATTTAATCTAATTAGAAAAATATCGAAATAAAAAAAATTATTCTTAATTTTTCAGATCTTAAGTTTACTTTTCTTTTTATTGTATATTTTAAACAAAAAAATATAAAAGAGTTTTTAAATTTAAGTGTTTCATTTTTCATGGAATGATAACTATCTCGCACGAGAAATATCATTTACTAATGTCGACATAAAACTCATTGCTCGATAGATTCCATTTCAAACAAGTAAAAAGGAAATACTGTACGCAGTTAATTAAAATAAAGATTATTAAAATAACTATCTGGATTTGAGCTCAGTGCTTAACATAATACAAAAAATACATTGCTGTTAAACTTTTTTCTATTTTTTTCTAACATGAACACTTTTCTTTGCTTGAACAAAAAATAGGATTTATTCAATATGTTTCATCAATTAATTGTTATACATGTTATGGATCAGGCTTTTATTGTTCTTTACCATTGGATTTTGATACTGGTGATGAGAGTAATGAAAATAGTATAGAAAGTAAGAGTTATGATTCAGATTATGTTTGTCAGGTAAGAAAATTTCAAAAACAAAAATTGAATACGATTCTAATTTTATTTGATTAGAGTGATCATCGTTATAATCCAATAACTGATACAGAAATATTAATTTTACGTGGTACAAAAGATTGTGAAGAACTAAATGTAATTAATCATCGTATACATTGTTGCTATACAGATGATTGTAATAGACGGCTACCACATATGATCAGACAAACTCTTATTTATTCGAATGATCAACAATATTTATCTTCAATGATATTAACAATTTTTTCTATTTTGTTTCAATATGTTTATTAAGAATTATAATATACATATTTCCTCGATTTTTTCTTGTAACAGCTGAATTAAAAAATAAAAAAGTTAATAACAGAAAGATAAACGTTTGTTGCGACTATCGATGAGATTTTGCAATATCTATAAAAGATATGTTCGATTAGTGGGTTAAAAAGCATTTTCTTGTTTTGCTTCCTCCTTCAAAGAAGTCAGGCGAAAATTCCTATTTGACTTCGACAAAATATCAAATGTTATGTTTAATGAAGGTGAACAACTATTGTTTTTTCTCAAGTGTAGAATCGAGGGAATATTTAGGTGTGGGATGTGGTTTTGTATGTGAGTGTCGATGTGTATCGGTCAGAGATGGAACCGGTACCGGTCTGGACTTTGGATTGACCGGTCCAAACCGGTCTGACTGGCCCAAACCAGTCTAAACCGGCTTAAATCAGTCTGACCGATCGAAACCGCCTTAAACCGGCCTATATTTCTCACTTTCCCGTTCTATGATGGTAATCATATGAAAAAACAACTGGCACCAAGACTAGTTCCACTAATCACATAGGAATTTATTTACAAGAAAATTTTCAAAATACCCATCAGTGAGACTATTGTTATCAACGGGGAAACATTATGTCAGTGTGCGTGAAAGCACGAAGGTAGCCCTCAAGAGAGTTCAATATGAAACAAGGTTTCATTTCAAGCCTTAGCCTGTTGTCTATAGAACAATATTTTGTCGGTAGATCGGTTTTTCTTTTATAAACTGACGTATCATCAGCATCTTGTTTAGTACCGGTAGACCGGTCAGATCAACTTTTTTTGGTAAATCTGTTTCCGTCGACGAACCGGTCTAGACTGGTTTTACCGGTCTACCGGTTTTACCGGTAGACCAGCCGGTCCGGTCCGGTCTTATTGTTTTGGACCGATACCGGTCTGAAAAAACTAGACTGGTTCCATCTCTGATACCGGTGAATAGAAGACGTACATTCACACCCACATCCTCAATGCTAGTGTAAGTTTTTCGTGAATTGTCTTTGCATCTATTTTCAAGTTGTACTATATCTATTCTAATAGACATGACATTATACAAATTATTTATACAATAGACTGTTAAATATCAACTGATTGAAAAATTCCCAGTAATTTTGCCAAAACTTTTGATTAGACCTACGTAGTAGTTTTTATTGGTATAGTAGATGTTGTGTCAGTAACTGAATAATATATTTAATATTACAATTAGTCAGTGGAGAAAAAAAAATCGTTCATCATTGGAAACTTCATAGATGATGGAATTCGTACTGTTTTACAAGTGATGTCAATTATTCTACGATCGAAAGACCAATGAGATTTTGATTCTAGTATTTATTTGCACTGATTGATTAGATTGAATCGTTTTTGCAGATTGCTTTCAAATTATTATTAATAATTATTCTATGATATAACCTACGAAGAAGAAAATTTAATACTTTTAGAATCATTCATCAATATATCTTAACATTTATATTATTTATGACTGATACTATGCCCCTCCCC